GCTCAGTAGGAGCCGCGGCTAACTCCCGGATAGTAAGATCAACCATCGGATTTATATTACCTGAATTTGAATCTTCTTCTGGATTTGTTTGTTGTCTCCTTCTTTCCCGAAGTGTCTGTGCGTGGAGTCTCCTAGCTTTGGCTTCAATCTCTAGGTCGTACTCCACTAATGCTCCCGAATTAGACCTGGTTATAAATAAAAAACAAACAAAAATTAGTAACTTTGGCGAAGTCCCCTACAACAGTGCCAATTTGACTACTGTCGTTTCCGATGTCAAAATAATTCCTTTTTATCAATTAAATAAATAAGGAAATACATAGTATAGAGAAATAAGGGTCGAATCCTCAAGGACTTAGAAAATCACAAATTTATGTTTGATTGGTTTTAAACCAGACGTGAAAATAAGAAAATGGGGGTTTTGGTAAAATGAAATTAAAATGGTAAAAATAAATAAAAGAAATTGAAATAAAAATAAGAGAATAAAGTTTGTGAATAAATACTGTAAAAATAGCCTCAAGCTTCGCTTTGACTCAATTTCCTTTAGATCATCGAATAAGATTTTCTCTTCGGGATTCACGTCGGTTACTTTGTCTACAAGGGCTATCCCCGTGACTCTATCTTGTATATCGAATGCCCAAGGAAATCTTTGATTCCGGCTTCGGTAATTGATTCTAACAACATCAATTGTCGCAGATCAATTACCGTTTAAGTTCGTGGTGTCCGACTCGGATTGTTGCTTCAATAACCATCAATTCCGATCTCAATTCCCTCTTGGCGAAGTCATCTCGCCAAGTGTGTTCCCAGGAAGTCGAATTGCTTTCTATAAGCCGAATCTTCCTATTACACATTTAATCGCAACAACCTCTTGACCAAAGTCGATATTTGATTTTGAAAACTGTTTTGATTTTGAAAAATAAGGGCAGAGATTGAGAGAGATATTCGAAGATATTAAGGGCCTGTTTCAATTCTCCTGATGGAATTGAGTCATCACGACAACTCTCGCTTATGAAAAGTTTAGCTAAGCATGACAAAAGTCAAACTTAGCATTTGAAAACAAATTTTGGAAAATAAAAGAAATTGAAAAGAACTTGAAAAGTAAAAAGAGAAAGCTTTTATAACAAGTAGAGAGAAAGGAAGTTTGTAATCCGAATGATGAGTTTAGGCTTACCCCAAGTGGGTATTTATAGCCTCTCAAAGCCTAAGGGATAAACAAAAAAATAAATAAAATAATCCTATGATAATTGTTTTTCAAATTTAAATTCAAACTTAAATCAGTCTCCTAATGCAACTCTTCTCGTCCATCTTCCAGAAGGCGTGCGGAGGAAGTCTTCTAAAACCGTCGCTGACTGGACCTTCTAGAAACTGCCACATCAGACCACGTCATGCCCACAGTCGTGCCCATATCTTCAGTCGTGACCAAATAATAAAAAAAGCAGAATGCATCGTTTTGTCACTAATTCTGGAAAGTAAAGACCTGCATGAAAATAAACATAACACGACTAATTTAGCAGTAATAATTCCTCAAAACCGAAAAATAATGAGCAAAGATTAACGATTCTGAACACTCATGAGTTGTGTTTCTTCCTGTACAACTGCAGCCTCCACGAGCAAAGCATTGCCATGATTGTGATAAATGTTTTCTTCAGTTCGATCATCATTGTGTATTGCTTGGAATATGTGTTGGTCGGGATAATCATTGCAAATTTTGGTGAGTCTACATCATCTTTGACGTATTCTTTATTACCTTACGTATAGTTTGTGACCTTTTGTTACTATGGTAAAGATATCTATAATCCAATGAGAAGGGTGCTGAAACTGTAAAAAAGTAACTCATCATAAACCCATTAAATACATTGAGAGAGGATTTTCTTTTCCCTTTTCCCTTTTCGATTGTTTTCTGAATTGGTTGTTTTTTGACGACTATAATAAATTCATATAGTTGAAATATATTTGTTTCTCCCGTCTCAATTTTATAAATTCAGGTGGTATATTTGTGAAGAGACAGCCTTGTGCCTCTGGACTGGCATCTTGTACGTTTCGTTCCTGAAGGTCAACATTTCAAGGGCTTGGTATGTTACATTACTAAAGTAACTTTTCCTTTCTAGCATCTCGGTATGACAGTCCAATAGTTTTATGCTGTGAGACAACGAGTGGGGAAATATCTATTATTTGACTATATTTTCAATCTGAGCCTTTTTAGTTACCTATTCTTAAAATTTGACTTGAAAACATATTGTTGACAGGTGGAAGGATGCCATTGTGATTCTGCTATTGATTGCCTTGTCAATTTCCATATTATTTCTACTACTGCTGCTGCTCTTTCATTCGAGTTCTTATGTATCATTCATAGAAAACAATAGTGATTTAAACCGAAAAGATATTTAATGTGGGGGGAGCAATCAGTTCTAGTTTAGTAGATGTATGGTTGGGTGAAAGTTGAGTTGCTTTATCAGATTTAGATTTTAGTGGGTGATGTTTGTTTGTTCTAAGAAGTCGGAAATTGTCGACCAAGTTTATTGCTACATCAGCCCTGTGGCGCGATGGAATTTAAGAATAATTTATACTCAGACGTGTCCAGCATTTATCAATATCAAAGGATTATAGATCAATAAATAATCAAATAATAATAATTTGTTTTTAACCTTATAATTAAGGGTTAATTACTGATCACTTACGTTTGTGTTATATCTATTTTTGTTTACTGATCAGAAAACATAATATATATGGTCACTTTCGTTTTTACTTAATTTGGTTACCACATGTTAACTGTTGTTAGACCATTAAAGATTTATTGAGTTTGCACGGTAATTAAATAAAATAGAAAATACATCATTTCACGTGGATTGAGTTAATTACATCATTAATCACTTATATTTGTGTTTTGTTCACTTTTTTCACTGATTTCAAATAACATAATATATATGGTCACTTTCATTTTAGTTTAATTAAGATGTCACCACGATTAACTGTCATTAGACTATTAATGATTTGTTGAGCTGACACTGTAATTAAATAAAATAAAAAATGTATCATTTTCACGTGGATTATATGTGAATTAAGTTTAAATAAATAAAATAATAATAATTGATATAAGAAATAAAAAAGTGTCGTCAATAATCTTTTTCTACAAATTCTTAAAATAAAACCCCCTTTGAATTTTTTTTTCATATCCCTAAAACAAAACTTTTTTGCTTAGCAGCCCTTAAAATCCTAAGAAGAATGAAGAAAAAAGACACGCCGATGAAAAAAATATAATATGGAATTAAGCAATGACGATTTCAACTTATTCTCCACAATGAAAATGTGTTTGTTTTAGGATACTCGTTCTTCATAACTCGTTCTCCCATTTGTCGTTAGGGAACGAGTTGAAATCATCACTTGATTCCATAATATTCTTCTTCGTCAATGTGCCTTTTCCTTTTCTTTTTCTTCTTATGATTTTAAGGTCTGGTAGAGTTACTAAAAGGGTGTTGCTTTAGGGAATTGAAGAAAAATATTTTAAAGGAGACCTAGTTTTAGAGATTTGAAGAAAAGAGATAGTTGATGGCACATCTTTATTTCACATTTATATCAATTACTTTTTATTTTTTAAAATTAATCAATGTACAATCCAAGTGAAATTATGTATTTTTTAAATTTTATTTGATTATCATGTCAACTCAACAAATTATTAATGGTCTAACGACAATTAATTCGTGGTGTCTATCTTAATTAAATAAAAACGAAAATAGTCATATATATTATATTTTTTGAAATTAGTGAGGAAAAGTGGACAAAACACAAATACAAGATCAATCATGTAGTTAACCTAATCCACGCGGAAATTATGTATTTTCTATTTTATTTAATTACCGTGCCAACTCAACAAATCGTTAATGGTCTAATGCCAGTTAACCAGTGATGACCACATCTTAATTAAATAAAAATGAAAGTGACCATATATTATGTTTTTTTTAATCAATAAAGAAAAGTAGGCAAAATACAAATATAAGTGATCATTTATACACTTAATCTTATAATTAAATCTAAATACAAATTCTAAAATTAATTTGTAAATTATCAATGCAATATTCAAACTATCCAAAATTACGTAAAATTAACTCAACCACTATTATTTTTAATCTCTCTAGAATTAATCTCACATCCATCCAAAGGGAGCACAAAGCACATAAAATATCAACTATCATGGTCTACGCCAATCGATAAGATATCGTTTGTTCTGGCTTTGTAATATTACAATGGTTTAACTGAAAAATAAATATTTGAATCATATATTTTTTATTTTAAGTATTTAAGATTTTTTAATCAAAATAAATATAATATTTCGTTTTGTTATTATTTTAAGGTCGAATTGTTAATGTACATTAAAAAATAGTTAGTCAATGAATGCATAACACATGGTTTGATTCTTAATTTTTAATTATTTTTAAATCACTAATTTCTCAACAACAACAAAAATTGGGAAATACCTTCCTTCTTCTAACTCTAGCATCTTCATCGTCGAAATGACCACCACCCACCCCTTTCGTTGCCGGAGATCTTTCCGACCACTAGATTCCGATAGTTCCTGTGGCATAAAATGGACTAGGATGTCATCAAATGGAAAATAATGACGGATACAAAACTTTATATTAGAAATAATGAATTTATAAAATTTTAAAGGACGAAAATATAATTTCAATAGAAAACATAAAAATTTATTTAAAATTTTTAAGTAGACGAAGGCCCTACTTAAGTATATCGCTCATTACAATAAAAGAAAGCAGGTGTATAATTAAATTGATCGGAACAAAATACAAATTGGTGCTTGAATTCAGCATTTGAACTTGACAAAAAATGTACAAATGCTGGTTCAGCAATGTCTGAAGTAAAAGGAATACACCTATAAAGAACTGTGCATAGTGTCCTATAAGTGAGACATTTTAGATTACATGTCTCTGGTTGATCCACCTCTCAAATATCAATAGATTGGAGGGCATGAATTTTTATATCACAAAATCCTAATGCGAAAGTATGTTTAGGAAAGAAACTCTAGTATGGAGCAAGCTCCTAAACAAGCACTGTAATCCATCCTCAAAACTTTCAAGCACATCATCCAACAATTCCAAATTCAGCAATGCCGATCGGATTTTCTGTTCTCCGGCGTCCTCTTTTGAACCCTGCAGCAGTAAGTTGCTAACCGCCAGATCGACTCTGTCTAACTCGTTCATTTTCTGCTCCTCTGCCGATCCCTTCCGCACCAACTTCGAAACCAATGACCACTTTGAAGGCTTCTTCTTCAAGGTCGACGGAGAAAGGAAAGAGAGGAAGGTGTGAAAGATGGAAGCACTGATCAGGCTTGCTTCTTTAAGCACCGCAGCGACTGCAGACAGATGACGGTCTTGTTCTAATCGTGGAGAGTCTCGAACATGTCATCCATTTGCTTCAATGATGCAAAAGCGTTGGCAATTTCCTTTTTCGTACTCTTCCTAGAGGTGATGTAATCACTAACATTGATATCAATGCTTAGCTCTCCCGCCTTGCTTCGTCGAAGAGCCGATTGAAGTTCTCGAGCACTTTGCTTCATCTACAGAACGGCATCCCTGGTGTTACCGCACAGATCCAAGTGTTTCAACGAACAATCCAGAATTGCGTTCTCCCATTCCTCATTGGGATGCTGAGCTAAAGTTTGTTGAGTGAGGGGCAAATTCAGAAGATCCTCTATGCAAATGTACAACTCTGCTAGGCCAAATAGACCGGTGCAAAGTGTTTCGGCATTCAGAAAATCCTCGATCGCATTGGATGATGAAGCACCATGCCAACACCTACACTTATTCAGCTCCTCTTGCAATCGAAGCGTGCTCGGATATGATCGAGCAGGGAAGCTGAAGGATCGGACACTGTATTTGATCGTAGACATTGAGGAGAAAGCAGCCATTGTCACTCTTTCCATTCTAAGATGAAAGCTAATTAATAATCCATTAGCATATATTTATAGCAACAAAGTGGGAGATAGTAGGGCCGTGCACCAATGTGGAAGGCATGAGATGATGGTGTGGGAACTTTTCGTATAGAACGTATTATGGGGTGTCACATATCCCACCAAAGGGAAATGACTCGTAATGATAAAATTGCCTTATTTAATAAAAATCCCAGGGCTCTGATTTTTGATACGGTGTATCTGACTTGTGGGATTTTGTTGTTTTTCGCAACACTTGTGGATTCATTACAGCTCCAATGCATCGTTCATCGTCCAATGATGCACAAATACCACTGTCGAACGCCGACCTGATTTTTCTATTAAGAAAAATGTGGCCTCGCAAAGTTATCTAGAAATCCATGTTATTTCAGATCCGAGATGATAATAAACTTTAGGGTAAAGTATAGTAATGGTCACTGAACATTTCTGAAGCTTGCATTTAGGTCCCCCAACTTTTAAAACTTGCAATACAATCCCCCAACATTTATTCCATTTGCAATATGGTCCCCCAACTTAAACCACCGTTAGAAATTAGGGTAAATTATATAAAAGGTTATTGAACTTTTCAGACACTTGAATTTAGGTCCCCCAACTTTTAAAACTTGCAAAACAGTCCTCAATTTCATTCTATACCCCAATTTCCAAAGTAATTCAATTTCATTCTAAACCCTAAATTCCAAAATAATTCAATTAAATTCAATTATGTCAGATTTATTATTATTTAATTTCATCTTATTTCATGTGATACGTATTTTTTATATAAATATATTAGTATAATTCTTATCTGTTGAAGAAATTTTTTAATTAAAAAAAGTAGTTAGGATATAGAAGAGGTTGAAAATAATTCGAATTTTAAATTTATAAAATGTTATTTTGACGTATAAATAAAAGTGTAAACTACTAGGTTGACAACTTAACTATCTAGCTCTTTTTACTTTTGTCATCGATCTTTTAAATTTATCAATCATACAACATAATTATTTAACTGTTTCAACTAAGCCACTAGTCGTTACCAATTTATACAAATGATGAAGTGGCAATTAAAAGGAATTGACATTATTATACATTCAGTCTTTATTATTTATATAATCAATTTGGTCCTAAATTAAATAGAATTTAATAAATTAATCATTTAATTAGGATCTGACATGTGTTAGCACATGATCATGACACGTGTCATTGGTGACACATGTCACCACCTAATTATTTATATATGCTATCAATTTGGTCCTAAATTAAATAAAATTTAATAAATTAATCATTTAACCAGGATCTGACATGTATTAACACATGATCATGATATATGTTATTGGTGACACATGTCACCACCTAATTAGAAGAAAATTAAGTTACAAAGAAGTAAAATTTGGGTCTTGGGCAAACTCAAACCTGAGTCACGCAAATGAAAGATACATGGTGGAGCCACTAAGCTAACACCATCGTTTGTGTTAAGAGATATACAATAATACATATACTAATAGTATAAACCAATGCCAGAAAAAAAAGAATATAATGGAAAATGGAAATAATGAGATTTGAACTTCGGCAAAAAATTTGAAAACAATAAATGATGGGAAAATATTATATTTTTTTACAATAAAAATATTATATTTGATAAATTGTTTGATAGATTTAATATATTTTTTAAATATTAGTTGATACAATATTTTAAAAGAATAAATTTAAGATTTATATATTTTTAAACTAAATTTAATAATTATATTTTTCATATTTATAATTCATGATTATATATATAATCTTAAGTTGAGTATTTCTAATATAATTAATAATTTTAATTTCTTATTAAAAATAAAATATTCAAAAAATATAAATGATTCATACATTAATATATGAATATATTTTTTATTTATACATCTAAATATAAATATACATTTATATAAATATATTTTTATTCGTATATTGAAATATTTTGATTAAAATATAAACATATTTTAAATACTAGTTTATACAAGAAAAATAAAATATATCAAAAATATAAATGATTCATACATTTAAATATAAATTGAATCATTTATATTTTCTATACATCTATATTTAATAAGAAAATAAAATTATTGGGGGACTGTTTTGCAAGTTTTAAAAGTTGGGGACCTAAATTCAAGTGCCTGAAAAGTTCAATGACCGTTTATATAATTTACCCTAATTTTCTAACAGTGATTTAAGTTGGGGGACCATATTGCAAACGGAATAAATGTTGGGGGACTGTATTGCAAGTTTTAAAAGTTGGGGGACCTAAATGCAAGCTTTAGAAATGTTTAGTGACCATTACTATACTTTACCCTAAACTTTAAAGCATTCAAATAAGGGTACCTCATAATAAGAAACGAGCGGAGACTTGCCAGATTAAGATATGGGTCTTCTAGTTCTATTTCATGTGTTTGACAACTGTCGTTTTGATCTTAAGATAAATTCTTTCTTCTCAATTAATAAATAAGTAAATACAAAGTAAAGAGAAGAAAAGTCGATTTCACATAGGCTTAGAAAATTTTAAATTTCTGTCTGAATTGTTTAAATCATGCGTGATAAAGTAAATAAAGGGTTGGTAAAATGAGATTAAATAAATTAAGGCTATTTAAGTAAAAATAAAAAAATAAGGATTGAAAACGAATATGGTAAAAAACAGCCTCAAGCCTCGCTTTGACTCAATTTCCTTCAGATCATCGAATTAGATTTTCCTTTCGGGATTCACGTCGGTTACTTTGTCTACAAGGGAAATCCTCGTGACTTCATTTTGTATACCGAATACCCAAGGCATTCTTTTATTCCGACTTCGGAAACTGATCTGATCAACATCAATTGTCATATATCAATTACCGTTTAAGTTTGTGACGACTAACTCAGATTGTTGTTTCAATAACCATTAATTCCGATCTCAATTCCCTCTTGGCAAGGCTATCTCGCCAAGTGTGTTCCCAGGAAGTCGAATGTGCTTTCAATAAACCAATCCTTCTTCCCACACATTTAATCGCATCAACATCTTGACCAAAGTCAATCTTTGATTTTGAAAACTGTTTTGATTTTGAAAAATAAGCACATAGATTGAGAGAGATTTTCGAAGTTATTAAGGGCCTTTTTCAATTCTCCCGTTGGAATTGAGTCATCGCTTTAGCTCTCGGCTTATGAGAAAATTAACTAAGCATGACAAAAGTCATACTTAGGATATTTAAAAACAAAGCTTAAAAATAAAGGGAAAAAACATAAAACTTGAAAAATAAAATAAAAGAGAGAATTTTAATAAAACTAAAAGAAGAAGAAGATTGTAATATGAGTTGTATGTTTAGGCTTACCCCAAGAGGGTATTTATAGCCTCTAAAAACCTAGAGATAAACAAAGAAATTAAAATAAAAATAATTCTAAAGATAATTCCAAATGTTTTCTAAATTCAAACTTCAAAATTTAAAATAAGCCTCCTAATGTAACTCTGCCTGTCCATCTTCCAGAAGGCCCGCTGACTAGATCTTCTAGAAACTGCCACGTCAGACCATGTTATGCCCAGAGTCGTGTCCATGTCTCCAGCCGTGAACAAATAATAATAAAAATGCAGAATGCGCCCGTTTTACTACTAAGTCTGGAAAGTAAGACCCTGCACGAAAACAAGCATAACACAACCAAATCAGCAGCAATAGATCCATAAGATCGAAGAATTAACGAGAAAATATTACTGATTCTGAAAACTCATCAAATTCCCCCTCACTTATCTCATTCTTGTCCTTAAGTATGATATAATCATATCAATAAAAAAATTTCATTTACCGTTCTTTATCAAGTTTCACATTCAAGGAAGCAAGGTAGAGATCACAAGAATTATTCAAGTCAAGACATCAATCAATTGAATATCCAATTGGAACAAGTTAAGTGCAATTGTAACATCCATTCATTCATTAATCTTAGCACCCATAACTCAACACCTTACTGGGATTCACTCAAATAACTCAATGTGTTTGGGGTATAGAAACACTCAATGTCAAAACCGACAGGATATTACCATAGTCCTGCAAGTAAATAAAATCTCCACTACTAATGAGAACAAGATGCATAAATCAAAGGGTCTTTTATTGGTTGTAACGGGACTTAGGTAAAGGTGGGGAAAATGATGAATAATATGGGTAAAATTCAAGGCAAGGAACTAACAAATAATAAGTTTTACTCCATCAAAACATTAAGCACAACAAGATAAAAAGACAAACCATCAAACAACAACTTTCATTTTGAAATGAATTTTTTTTTTTCTTTTTCACATTTTTGTTGTTATTTTGTTTTTCTCATGTCTTTTCTCTTTTCTTTTTTTCTTCGAACAACTTCTTTTTTTTTGAACTACTATTATTTTTTTCTTTTTTTTCTGGTGCATACATCGGTTAAACTGTTCACTTTCCCTGAAAAGGGTAGAAAAGATGGATAAAATAAAAAGGTCCAGGTTTATAAATGTGGTGAAAACAAAGAAGTGAGAATAGACTCAAAAGTGATTAACTAGGGGAAAATGCATGGGTATACAATTTTAGTGGGGAAAACAGAATGGTTAATCCTAAAGTGCCCAAATCATTTTTAAGCATCATGTTCATGTGTAATATTGAATTATTTAAAATGCAGGTTCTAGAATAACAATGTCAAATTCAATACACTCAATCCAACAAAATGAGAGAAAAAATATATGCTCGTAAAGGCTCAAATCTCACCAAATTGTTTTCATGCATTGAGCTAAGCACATTTCAACCAACAAAATCATGGAATATATCAAGAATACAAACTTAATCACAATTCATGTTGTCCACTATCAAGAATATCCTATCCTAAACAATTATGTGTTCTTAAACAATCATGGTATTCCAAAAATATTCAACAAGACAAAGGAATTTAATGAAATTTCTACAAATCAATCAACACATACTAGCATAAAAACATAGAAATAAGAAACGGGATATTCATCCTAGACTCTACTC